GGTGAGTCGCAATACATTTATACAAATGCTTCCGGCGGGGCTCGAACCCGCGACCTTCGGCTCATAAGACCAACGCTCTAACCAACTGAGCTACGGGAGCGATTGTGCTCTACTATATCAATATCCTTATTTAAAAACAGATTAAATTATTCTTTATCATAAACCCAAAAACTATATATGAAAAGTATTAAAGTACAATAATTTCATCAGATCTTTGTACAATTCATAATAACAAACTTGAAAAAGACATTAGAACTAATCTCATATCTTCAATTAATAAACACAAGGTAACAATATTCTCACACATACATAAACTTTTTAATAGACAGAGACCTTTTTCTGCTAATTTAATAGTCTTTGGCTCACTAATCATAGAAAGGGTAAAAATAAGCACATTTTTTATTGGTTCTTCTTCAATGAGAATAAACCTTTATTCTTCACTTCTTGTTTCTGTGTGTAATATATATGTTTAACTCTCAGCTAGCTGCTGATGCAAGAGAAGCTACGGGCTCAGGAACAACATTGGATGCAGGAAAACCGTTTGTTTTCGGATACTGTTTCTCCTCTAATCCCCAGAACTTTGCGGTTTTGATATCGTCTTCAAACATTTGTCTTGAGAAATCCTCGTGATCGTACTCTAGTGTTGTTTTTCCTCCGAATTCCTTGGGGAGATTCTCCAAATCAAAGTGTGATTTCATCAGTTCATCACTTGTTTTTTCTTTCGGGTAAACAAAGTTTACTTTTTGAGCTGTTGTTGGATCCAAGAAGTACTTCACAGCCTACAGAGAGAAGAAAGTGTAATGAGCTCTTCAAGACTTACAGAGAAAAAGAGACAATTTTGATAATTGTGTAATGATTGATGTACCCTGTAGACTGCTTGGAAGAGCCTTGGTGGATTGTAGAGAAAGGAGAGAGCGAGTCTCTCGGGGTAATGATTTTGAAGAATGTAGACAATCTCGCGTGTTGTTTTCATGGGAGCACTATTAGCCATGGACCAACCAGTGAAATCTATGAGCCAAGACATTTGTTCTTGTCCCTTGGGAAGATTGATGATTGCATTTTCAAGAAGATAGACCAAATGCTTGATATTACCTTCTGCTGATGTTGTGTTCTGTTTTGCAAGATAATTAACAAGACATTTTACATATGACTTTTGATCCTTGGAATGAAAAAAAAAGGCGAAAATCGGCGTACTTACCTGCAATGCGGGTCTCATTATAAGCACAGTCCTACCTTGTCGATCATGAAAGCTAGCTCTTGAAACCTTTCCGGTCTCACCTTCATGTGCTATTTCATGCTGCAAATAAATCAAAGAAGAAGATTGAAATGATGAATACAATAACTTTTAAGTTATTTATGAAATGAAATGTCGAAAATTTACCCAACGGATCTCATGAGGTTTGTATGTTGATCTCCATTTAAGAGTCTCTTCAAGCATTAGCTTGGCTTTTTCGACATTCCAATTACGAGCATCCAAATATCTCCTCAATGTAGCATCAGAACAGAAAACTAAACTATGTCCCGAGAGTGGTCCTATCGCGGATTTCAATTCGCTAACCTGAAAATTTTCTAAACTTCTTAGTATAACTATATACATTACTATGCTAATAATTTCGATATAATACAAATGTTTCACATACCTTATTATCTTTCTGAGAATCATCATCCTCAAGTTGTTGAACATTCCTTCTCCTGAACATCTTTTTAACTAACAATCTCTCTAAGCTTCAAGGACACAAGTTTCAAAAGCTAAATCAGATTTCACAACAAACAAATAAAAACAGAGTTTTAATCCAATAAGAGAACTAAATTAGATTATTCAAGAATCAGTAATTAGGAACTTTGATCGTCCGCTATTAATAGATAATAATTTGATAAAATCACAAATCTATCTTACATCTAAAAACAGGATCAAGTATTCATTCACATCATGAAGATCTTACAAACATAAGAAATTTTCACAGATCTTCTAGAAAAGAGCTAAAGAGACAAATAAACACACGTAATAATGGGTTTGAATAATTCCTGATTCAACGAATTTATTACATTTTTGACTTTTCTTAAACCACACAAATTTCGAATTTGACATTAAAACAAAACAAATTCTCCATATCAACGACGTAATTTGAAGCTGAGGATCCGTGAAAAAACGAAACATATATAATCCGTGAAAATCGATCGAATCAACAAGTAGGATCGATTGACAAAACTCGATTATTAAAAGAGAAATCGAAACGTAAAGAGAATCAAACCTGAGAATACGGATCTTTGTGTAGCAGTGATCTC